AAACTCCATTTCTACAAAACAACACAGAACAAGCATTTAACATTTTGTTTTTACAAATTATACACTTACAGTTTGTTTCATAGTCCATGAATGCAGATCAGGCATCACTGCCACTTTTCATGATCTCTTTAGCATAACTGATGTAGTCATGAAGAAGCCCCATCAGCACAGCGAAGGCATGTGACATCTTTTACATCATCCAGGGCAGCCTCCTCCTTTAAAACCACTGTTGCAACAGTTTGGGGGAAAGGACATTCTCCTCTTTGACTGTATAAACATATTATACAAAAACACTATTATACAATAGTTGTACAATCAGTCACCGCCTGTTCTTCATCAGTGGCCTAAAAAGAGAAAAACATTTGAAAAAAGAAATTATTTAATTAAAATATATCCATTTTCGGATAGAGGTGCATCCACATCAGTAAGGATAGGTAAATAGTCTGTTTTATCATTTCAACCACTTTGTGTGGTTGTTTAATGTCTCTGTCTACCACAGCGCTCTAGAATGCTATAATGGCAGCACTAGTGTGAGGGCATGTAATATTGTTTAAATAAATATATTGCTTTCAGAAAGCTACTTCTTTACTGAAACATTAAAACAGACATGACATTCACATACCTCACAAATTTTCATAAATGTGGAGGGCTGCTCTTTAAAGGGTTAGTTCACCAAAAATTGAAAATGGTCATAATTTATTCTCCCCCATGTTGTTCCAAACCCATACAAACTAATAATAACAAATAAATATATTTAATATTCTCTTAATTTTTGTCCTCCATTGCAAGTCTGGGAGACCAGTATTTTCTTCTGAACAGACATGTTCGCTATGATATAATTTAAGGTTTATTCATATATAAATATTGGAATGGATTACTTGTACAATAACTCTGTATTTTTGAAGCTTGAAAATACTGATTTTCTAGACTTTCAATGGATTAACAAAAAATTAAAAATATCTTCATTTGTGTTCTAAAGATAGACAAAAGTCTTATAGGTTTGGAATGACCTGAGGGCAAGTAAATTATTTTTTTTTTGTGTGAACTATTCATTTAAGAAAGGAAGCCCAAGAATGATGACTCTCCAAATCAGACAACTTCAAAGTTGGTTTGAGTTCTGCAATGAAAAACACAGACATCAATGGTTTGCATAAAATATGTACACGCAATCATACTGTTGTTGCATCAAAATGTGAAGTAAACAGGCAGGAGACAACAGAAACATTTATTTTCTAAAAATAACTCATCAATCTCAAAAGAATGATGCTCTCCTATGTCTCTGGCTTTCAACATCTACAAAAACAACAAACATTCTTTTAACTCTTAGTAAAAAAAAAAAATGATAACACGCAATTATGAAGTTTACTTGCCTTAAACCGTCTTTCCCTCTCTTCTGAAGAAGCTGAGAAAATCGCCTCCTCACACAAGCAGGGTTCTGTGTCATTAACTCCCGGCGTGGGCACAATGAAGACAAAGCTCAACAAGTCTGAAATATAACATGCAAAACATTAAAAGTACATTCAATTCAACCGCGAAAACGAAGATAATTAACATGTAAATATGTGAATACGCCTCAAAAATGTAAATATTGTAAAATAGTATGCAAATATGACATAAGACACTCACTGACGTTATATTAAAAGCACCTCTTCCATTCAGTAAAAGAGTTGACTATTTCTGAGGCGAAATCCGCGAACGTGTATTTTTCAATATAAGCTCTTTTCGGAATATTTCCGCCTTCCATGAAATCTCAAAATACTACCGGACTCAAACAATGAATATTGACTTTACATTTTTAATCTTTCCTTACCATAAACGGTCTTTCACTCGCACTCGCTTCCATATGAAGACGCTGAGAAAATGGCGGATTCTCGCACTGGTCTTGTCCGATGTTAACGTGACGTGTGTGCTCTCTTTCACGTCCGCATTCCCAACAGCGCCGCTGGGTTATAGACCAAGACCAATTTTCAACCCAAATTGGGTTAAAACAACCCAGCATCCTTACCCTGCGGTAGTGATGTGACAATTGATACCGCAGCTCCAATGCTCCGACGCAGTTTTCAAACCATTATTGTATCACACACTGTGCCGATGCTTGTATCGAAATGACAATACCACGTGATTGATGATGTTTGAAGCTTCAAACGTCATGCAGTATCGGAAGGTGGTTTGAAAAAACTGGCGCTTCACGATCCCATGCATAAAAGGATTATTCAGTCACTTTGAGGGCTGTCAGTAGGACATTTAATCTTGTTTATAACTGGGGTCTCAGAGACCCCGAACGCAACATAAGGGTAGGCCTATAACAGCTCACCCAAATTGTTTTTTTCAGCTACCCACGTCAGTTATTAATTATGATCACATGTTTGTGTATTTTATATTATTGATGGATATGTGAATCCGTTGACCAAGCTTCACATGACACGAGTTGTGGTCTCATTGGCACAAATTAATTTAGATGAGATTATAGGTCTGTCAGATTAGATATTGTATTGATCCCAGATTGATTCCACTCTTGAATGTCACAGACTTCTGAAGCCTTGCCTGGTCTCATGCTTTTTCAAACCATTCTCTGCTCCGCCATGATTTGTCAGAAATGATGGAGAAAACAAGTCCGACCACCATGATGTCGCTAATGCACACTGTGTTAAAAGCTTTGCGTAATGAACCGTTTTTCGGCACAATTTCATGAAAGCCTCAAACGCTTCAGAAAGCCTCGGTTTCCCATCACTACCCAGCGGTCTCAACCCAGCATTTCGGTTGAAAAAACAACCCAGCGTTTTTTAGAGTGAATGTAGGGAAACTGTTGTTCTGCTCTTATTTATTGTTATTATCTACAGGGTTGAATTCTCTCATTTCTCACAGGTACAGAAGGAGAAGAATCAGAAGTAACTGCTCTTACACAGGGCTTGATGAGATCATCTATGGCAGGTGTTGTGGCTGACTGAGTGCAGGTGTTGACCAGAAGGGATGCTGGGAAATGTAGTTCCCAGTGGACTGGGCTGGTGACTGAGGATAGTGAATGGATTGGTGACTGGGGTTTGTGACACCATTTATATGTCTCCTTTTATTTTTCACCTGGGATCTGAATAGAGGATTTTTTTTATTTGGCATCTCTGAATGAGGCATCATTGAGGGCCCTGCTGAATGGGATTCTGGTTTCTCCACCAGGCTTCATCAATAGCTTCATTAGACATAAAGGGATAGTTCAACCCAAAATGAAAATTCTGTCTTCATTTACTCACAAATGAAGGTATTTTGAAGAATGTTATGGTCCATACAACATTGGACCCCATTGACTTTCATTATATGGACAAAAAAGAAATTTTTCAACATCTTCTTTTTTTGACAGAACACACAAATTTAACCTCGCCATAAAAACCATGCTGATGAATAACAGCAGTTATGTTAAAGGGATAGTTCACCCAAAAATGAAAATTTGTCCATTAATTACTCACCCTCATGTTGTTCCAAACCCATAAGACCTTTGTTCATCTTCGGAACACAAATTACGATATTTTTTATGAAATCCTGAATGAAAGTCAGAGCTTTCTGACCCTGCTTAGACAGCAACGCAACTGACACGTTCAAGGCCCAGAAAGGTAGACAGTTGAAGGACATCGTTAAAATAGTCCATGTGACATCAATGGTTCAACTGTAATTTTATGAAGCTGCAAGTATATTTTATATGCGCAAAGAAAACAAAAAATAATGACTTTATTCAGCCATTTTTTCTCTTCCGTGTCAGTCTTCGGTGCATGTTCACGAGAGTACCACAACGCATTAGTGTGGTGCTGCTGACGAAGGAGCCGGCATTCTGATGTAGAACATCCATCTCTGAGTTCATTGTCTGTATATTCTGTTTCGAATAAGAAAGGCTGGACAAAAAAAATCGCAAGTCATCCTCCTGTTTACAGAGACTGTTTTATGTACAGCTTGCATCTTCTTCTGCTTGTAAACAAGGTGCAGCGCATCCTCGTTCTATGTCAGAATGCCGGCTCCTGCGTCAGCAGCACCACACACATGCATCGTGGTATTCTCATGAATGTGCGTTGAAAACTGACACGGAAGAGAAGAAATTGTTGAATAAAGTCATTATTTGTTTTTCTTTGGGCACAAAAAGTATTCTCGTAGCTTCATAACATTACACAGCAGTGGCTCTTAACTATTGGTTTGCAGCCCAAATATAGGTCAAAGGCCATACATCCAACCTAACTCCACAATATTTCACTGTAAGTTCACTAACTTCACTAAGATGACTGAAGATACAGACATGTTCACTTGAAAAAAGGAACATACATGCCAAGCACATGGTGTTGGTTGCAGTAAATTATTAGCCATCACAATTCAGCATACATGGCAACAAACATGTAAGTAAAAATGCTTATATCGTTGGGCTAAAAAATTTTTTCTTTAAATGTTTCTTTTTTAAGTTTTTGTTTTGTTGGTTTGTTATTGATATGGGGCTTCAAGTTTTCAAAAAAGCACAAATATGTAGTACAAAAAAAGCACAAATATGTGGTCTCACATTGCACATATATGTAAATGTTACAGATTACATTACAGATTACATAAGATTATCAAACATGTTGCAGTTTACAATAATCAGTAAATGGTCTTGTGGACTGGGGAAGGTGTCATAAGATGGGAGTATGTCTATATCTGTCACAGAGTCTAGTTGGTGTGCCCCTTATTGTCACTAGAGGGCACACTTTGTAGTTTTGATTTGTTTCTCTGGACTTCAGTTCCCATCACCCTTTGCTTTGACATTGTAGTGTAGCGAATCAGCTCATAAGGGAAATATGAATAATTAATCATAACTAGTCATAATTAATTATAAATATTTAGATCCGATGTAGATATTTACTTGACCTCTCAGGGTCAACTGTCTTGTCAATTCTAAGAACGTTAATTTCCTGGTTAAGGGAAATAACTTTCTTACTGTACAATTCTACAAAGAGCTCGTAGCATAAATCTGCTCTATTCCCGGAGAAGCTTCAAGGGCTGGAGGAATTGCGCCAGAGGGGAATGGAGTTACAGGCCTTTATCCAGAGATTCTGGACTGGGGCGGAGAGGCTGGGCGTTCAAGGTATGGGCATTAAGGACATTTTTAATCGTTGTCTGGATGAACCTCTATTGCAGTGGGAGGTGGAACTGGTGAAGTGTCTGGATTTCTGGAACTTCTCCAGATATTTGCAGCTCCGGAAGGAGAGTAAGATTAATCACCATCACCAGAATCTATCTGCAGGGACCATCCCACCCATACCTCACTCGTCTAATCAAGTCCAGAACCAGTCATCTATTCCCACGCTTAAGTGGAGGAAGAGACTGGGGAGGGTAGCAAAGTCGACTCTGGTTGTCTTGAGTCCGGTGGTCCTGGAGGACCCGACTCCAGTGGTCTCGAGTCCAGTGGTCCTGGAGGACCCGTCTCCGGTGGTCCCAAGTCCGGTGGTCCTGGAGGAACCGACCCTGGTGGTTCCAGAAGTTACTGAGCAGTCCACTCTTTTTATCTCTCCCATGATCCTTGCCCTGCCAGCTCCTCCCAGGATCCTTGCCCTGCCGGCTCTTCCCAGGCTCCTTGCCTTGCTAGCTCCTACCAAGCTCTTTGCCCTGCTGGCACCACATAAGCTCTCTGTTTTGCTGGTCCCACGTAAGCTTCCTGCTTTGTTGGCCCAGGAGCCTGCCCCAGAGCCCGCTCCAGTCCGGCAGTCTTCAGAGTCCACTCCAGAACCCGCTTCAGTCTGTGAGCCTTCAGAGTCCACTCATGAACTTACTCCGGTCCGGGAGTTTTCATAGTCCATTCAAGAACCCGCTCCAGTCTGTGAGCCTTCCGAGTCCACTCATGAACTTACTCCGGTCCAGGAGTCTTCAGAGTCCACTCTAGAATCCACTCCAGTCCAGGAACCTTCAGAGTCCACTCAAGAGCCCGCTCCAGTATGTAAGCATTCCGAGTCGACTCTAGAATACACTCCAGTCCAGGAGCCCTCAGAATGTAATCCAGAGCCCGCTCCAGTCAGTGAGCCTTCAGAATTAACTTCAGAACCCGAGGTGGTGGGTTCTGCTGGGGAGCTCCTCGAGGCGGCGGCATCCGCTTCAGCTCCCCTCTGGGCGTTGCTGTCCATTCCCAAACACTCAGCCTGCCTTGTCATGGCCAAGGAGACTGTGGTTGAACTGTATGCCTGTCCCGTTACAGCCGTTAAGGCTGTTACTAACATCTCTCTGCTTATCTTTGCAGTACTACTGCTAGGAGGTTCATCGGCCCTGTCAGCTTCGTTGAGGTGGTCATCAGTTCCGCCTTTTCAGTTTGCCAAGCTCCTGGTTCTGCCCTGGTAGTCCACCAGGGGTTGTTGTTGTTCGGCCAGAGCCTCGCTGGTCTGTCCCTCCAGCCCCACCCTGGCCTCCTGCTGTTGCAGTTTACAATAATCAGTAAATGGTCTTGTGGACTGGGGAAGGTGTCATAAGATGGGAGTATGTCTATATCTGTCACAGAGTCTAGTTGGTGTGCCCCTTATTGTCACTAGAGGGCACACTTTGCAGTTTTGATTTGTTTCTCTGGACTTCAGTTCCCCATCACCCTTTGCTTTGATGTTCTATTCTCATTACATTCAGCTGTCTCATTATCTTAACTCATCCTCATAAGCTCGGGTTTGTGTCCTTAGTTGCTTTTTGATTGTTTTCTGTTACGTGTTTCTTTATTCTGGTTGCCCTGTTTTTGGATTATTTATTATAAATGCTGCACTTGGATCATCCCGTTTGTGAGTGTTCTGTGATAATATCTAACTCTTTTACTTTAAAACAGCCTGGAAAATCTGGCTTCCCTTCATATATGAACCCCTTAAAAATGCATCTATGCAAGCAATGGAATGCATTTGTCCAATTCCTAATCATACACAACTAACCTACAACAGCTGTTGCTGGCCAAGCAAGCTTTGTACACTGAGAGTATCCATTGTGTCCAAGCTCCCACATTCCTGCTGTGCTATTGCAACACAGGGTTGAAACAGCCCTTCCCACTGTCTGCACTTCTTAAGAAATTTTGCTAAATCCCTTTACACCAACAACCAGTTTGAGGTCATTATTTTCTATACTGCTTTAAGGGAAATGGTGACACTTACCTTTTTGCCCTCCTTAGTTATTCAGCAAACAAATATTTTTACATCATTCTCCATTTTTAAAGGAAATTTCATAGCATTGGGATATAATTAGGTTGGAAAAAAATGTAACCATGCACTGAGCAGTGTTAATATGAACACATTTAAACGGTTTAATATTACACCCATTCTTGTCACAATGAGTATTTAAAAGAAGCCTTGAACCCTTTAGTTAATACAAGCGTAAATGAGAAAGGATCGGAGTGAGCCAACTGACAGCACAGGGACTAAGCAATTTTTGAATATTACTGACCCAGCATTTGGAAATACCTAACACAAGACAGCAAAAAAAATGAATGCATTTTTAGTCCAGAAATCCTTTCACCTCCTTACATTCAACTGATCAGATTAAGAGAGAGGTTTAAGAAGATTTGGACAAAAAAAACCCTGCAATGGAAGGAGGAGTGGAAAAGGTGGAGGGGGGAGAACAGGTTGTGATTCAGTAGCCCCAGGCAATTCATCATAGAAATTGAGTTTCTAATGCAGCATCTTGTGAATCCCTTTTGCTCTGTCAACGTTTTAATACATTACATTGAGAAATTGTAAATCATGTTATAAAAAGGCCACCGAAAGCTGGCACTAACTGCCCCCCTTAACTAACTCTTTCATTTTTTAGCTTCCTTCTCTCTTTCTTACTCTTTACATCTCAGACTCACACACATACCAGAGGTGGATCTGTCGAGAAAAAAAAAAAAAAAAACCTGCTGCAGGCCCTGTTTCTTACAAGAGAAAAAGGAATCTAAATCTCATCACGCCTGTTAAGTTGTGATTTGAAGAGAGTAGAGAGTTGTGGGCCTTGACACGTTCTGTAGACTGAGTTTGTTTCTTTCCTTCTATTTCACCATCCCTCTCACTACCGTCTGTCACAAATAGGGACAAAAGCAGACAAATAGAGGTGGATATAATAGCGGACTCAAGTCACCACTCAAGGAGAGCTAGTGAACGTGGCACTCTAGTAATAATTCTTCTGTCGTGTAAGATCATGGAAGTCGAAGTGTCTGAAGACTAAACCTCCTTTTTGCATACAGTCCAAACAATTAACCTGTGCTATCGCTGCAGTTTAGTTCATGGCATTCATGGGCTCAGAACAGCAGCAGTGAATCTGAAATATGGCTTGTCTATCAGGAGAGTGATGCAATATGTGGTTATACAGTGTTTGAATTGAACTTATTAATCAAGGTTGGTGTTTCATTCAACTTATGATTGTACATAAACTAAATAAGAATTATAAGAGTGTCCATGATAAAGATAAGAAAACATCTTTACAAAAACAATCTAGTTTAAAACACATATGGCATGTTCTTGGAAATATAGTCTTTAAATAGTTGGTTTCACAGAGGTTAACATTTTTTTTTTACTACTTTTCAAATAATGTGTAACTACATTCTGCAATCTGAACTAACCTTGACTTGTCAATTAATAAATAAGTAATGTCACACACACACACATTATTTATACATATGTGAGTGTGTGTGTATGCATATATATATATATATATATATATATATATATACACACACACACACACACACACACACACATAGAGTAAATAGTACAATATTACCAGACTTTACTATACTATTTATTTCAAATAAAATAAATTGCACACTAAAATCTACCATAATCAGTTAAATAATTGTCGATTTTGCAACAAATATAACCTTTATCAGGGACTTCATGGCTGCATTTGTAGTCATAAATCTTTCAGTAAATCTGTTATTAATATGCATAAGTGTTATAATATTGTCTTGAATGGGCAGCCGTGTGAGGGGGAGATTTGGGGAATCCGACATAAGTTTTCAGACAAGAAAATGGTCACCCTCTTAATCAAATTCGAAATTACGCTTTTCATATCGATCGGTGGAGCATGTAGCTGTCACTGAATATTACATATCTTAACATCCTACCATTAAGAAACCACTTCAGCTGACTGCATTACTTACTGTACTAATAAACTTTGTTTATTTTTTTTCTTAATTGACACCCTCAGATATGAGAGATGATACCACACACCCGAGAAGGTGCGCATCTGCTACATGTGTGGACACTTGTATTAGCATGCTAATAAAGGACTGTGAACCAACGCATATGTAGTGTGTGTTTGTTTGTTTGTTTACATTAGACATGTATGGGCGTAATCTAAGTTCTCACTGTGACCAGCTGAAGACTCTTGCTGCCTCTCAGGAATCATTAGCTGGCTGACTGTTCAGGTGCAGCGAGCTCTGTCACACAGCTAAACTTTATTTAATGCTTCAGGAGGCTGTTTCACTATGGGTCTCATGTGTAACGAAAAAGTAATCTCAAGGTGACGAGAGGAGAGCCGCAAAGACGCACCGCTCCTTCATCTTCATCCTTCCAACCTCCCTGGAGCTCTTGCCTGTGTGAAGGCAATACTTCTGAAAGGCGCCCTGGACATATGGTTTATGACGTTAGGACCATCCCAGACCTAAACACTGCAGAGTCTTTCAGCAGCTGCCATACTATTCTCTCAATAAATCACTGCAAGTAAGTAAATAAATAAGTAAATAAACAAATAAATAGTCTTGTTTTTGAATATTTTTTTTACAAATACAATTAACTAAGAACTAAAACTGCATAAGATATTGAAGGGATAATTCACCCAAAATGAAAATTTAATAATTTACTCAATTTCATAATTTCATAATTTAATTTGTTCAAATTTGTATGAATTTATTTCATTTCATTCTTTCAACACAAAATAAGATATTTTGTAGCATGTTGGTAACCAAGTTGACAGTAGCCATTTACTTCCATAGTATGGAAAAAATACCAAGTTCTGTTTTCAACAGCTAAAATAAATTCATGAGGGTTGGAACGACTTGAGGGTCATTAAATGACTAAATGAAAAGAATTTTCATTTTTGGGTAGACTATCCCTTTAATGGTATAATTCTGTTATCATTTATTCACCCTCATGTCGTTTCAAACCTATATGACTTTCTTTCTTCCGTGAAACACAAAATAAGATATTTTGAAGTTTGGTTTTGGTTGTTATAATTTTTTTCACAAACAGAACAACCAAAAAAATATATTCTTCAAAATACCTTCTTTATTTGTGCTCCACATAAGAAAAAAAAGCTTATAAGAGAATTTTACAGACATGATTACT